GGATCTCACAGTAGAGACAACAGAAGGACTAGAAGGCACCGCAGGAGCTTCACGTCAGATCCCCTCTTGTTCCAGAGGCTGCAGTCAAGTGCCTCTCCAGGCCCCAGGAGGGAGGCTGGGACTCTGTGGCCTGAGGGCACCTTGGGAGGTTCCCCTGGGGACCTGAGGATCCCTGTGCTGACATTCCCTCTGACTGGCCCTTTCCACGGTGACCTTCCCACGAGGCGGGCTCCATGAGCAGCCCTGGCCCTTTGGAAGCATTTTGACAGCCTCCCACTTTGGAGAGCTCGGCAGTTATTAAGATGGAAGAAGCCAGCTGGGGCTCTGTCAGGCAGCCGGGAAAGCCACAGTGGGGCGGGGGGGAAGCATCAGGAAAGCGCACGGTTGATAAGGACCCCAGGCGGGGTCTCCCCAGGCCTTTGATTAAGACAGGCCAAGCCTGTCCTCGCCGCTCTCAGAAACGTGCTTTCTGTGAATCTGGGGCCTGGAGTTCCACACAAGGAGGCTGTTAAAAGATAGATTAAAAGGCATAAAAATAGTATGCGATTTCACGGCACAGGGAGGCCTGTCAAATCCCCGCTCACAGAGTGAACTGCTTAAAGGCGATGATCAAACTGAGTCACCAGGTCTGCTCCGATGGGCTGATGCCTCTTGAAAAGGCAGAAACCGCACTATTGTTTGTGTCAAAAATACTTCTGAAGAGGCTGCGGAAATCAAAAGGTCCCAGTGTGCCCAAGTCTGAGGGAGAGAGAGGGGAGAGAGGAGAGGAGAGACAGACGGGGCAGCAGGTGTGCTAGAAGCAGCCTTTCAGAGCAGGAAGGGCGGGGAGGACTGAGTCCTGGAAGCAGACTGAGTTTGAGACCCCTGGAGTTCCCGGCTCTCACTGAGGTTCTGCAAGGTGCTTGACATTGTTTGAGGCACCTCAGGCGTGATAACTCAGTGAGAACATCAGCACCTTGAGGGTGCTGTGTGACACTGAAGATGTCATGCGCCTCTCTGAACCTCAGTGTCTTCTTTTGTAAAGTGAGGCTAACCATTCACATCGCTCCAGGTGGTTGGGAATCCATGTGAGATAACATAGTGAAACACAAAATGGCAGGCCCCAAAAAAGGCTCAACCTATGAGGTTTGAGTCTGAAGACCAGGCACGGGACAGTCGTAAGGATGATGTTGACTGAGAACAGGTTACTCCTGGCACTGGGATGAACACAGCGTGTCTGTGCATCACATCTTTCAAACTCTCCAGACAGTCCTTAGTTGGGTAATGAAGAATTTTAATCCCAATTTGAATAATAAAGGGACCAAGGAACATTGAACAGAGACTGGATCCAAGATCCTGTGATCCTTGCCACTCTGCTGGAGACTTTCTAGAGTGACAGAGGGCTAACCTTGGAGTCACCTATAAGGTGACCCAGCATCAAACCCTCCCTCTCCCCAGACTGAGGCCCTCTGAAACAACTGGGTGTCTGGTCAACCCACACCCACTCGCACTCTTCCCTTGATGGGCAACTCACTCCCTGATGGAAACTCCTGCTCAATTTCCAGATGGCACAAATGTTGGAAAGTACTTCCTCCCCCCATCAACTGGATTGAATTCTGGCTTAGAAGGGGACCGAGTAGACGCTATCTGAATTGTCACTTCCAGGGAGGGAATCTTTGACAAGTTCCCGTTGCTTTTAGAGGTAAAATAATCATCACTTTTTCTTCTTAAAAACTGCCAACAGCATGGAGAGAATCCAGACTGAAGAGGAAAATTGCTTTTCCTCCTTCCTCTGGCACTGCCAGGGCAGAGCAGGCCACCGTGGGCTCTGCAGCCGGGGCTAAATTTATTTTCATTCAGGTGTTACCGGACTGTGCTTTCCTGCTTCTCTCTGATCAATGCTCTCATTAAAGCACCCAGGCTCGGCAATAGATTCACCGTAATGCCTGTCACCCTGGGGTTCCAGCAGCACGGGCTCAGGGACTCTAACAAGCTGCTAAGAAGGTAAAGACGAAAGCCCGTCCTCTCCCTCCTGACACAGAGACCTGAAATTGTTCCTGTCCATCTCCTAAAAGCAGTTCTGTTGACTGGGTTCCTTTTCTATCGGAGTTTAGAGGTCACATAAGGAGAAAGGGAGGCTGGGGAAGTATTTAGGTGAGCAGAATGCACTCAGAAGAACCACCGGAATGTTCCCTCCAAGGTATTGGGACCTTTGAACAGCATTTATTTCTGGTTTTCTTGACCTGGCAGAATTGCTCGCCCACGCAGGAGGGTTTCCCCTCTACCTCGCTGCTCTCGTTGTCCCGAGTCTCATGTATTTTAACGGTCCCAAGCAGGCCGTGCACGTCCCACCCATCCTATTATTCACAGTAAATATTTATCCTGAGCGTTTCCAGTGTTGCCTCGGTTCGTGTTATCCGCCTACTGCTGCTGCGCAACTTAAGGGCTGAGCACCGTAGCCGTTCTCCTTCGATGGCTTCGTTTTGTGTATAATTACACACAGGGCAACGACAACCATCACCATGCAGGATGCTATTTCCTCAGTGCAGCTCTTTCTCCAGGATGATTCGCCCGCTCAGGCTGCAGACGTGTGTCCAGGTTCGTTTCTTTCTGGCGTTTGCCCGTTTACCGCACGTCCATCGGGAGCTGGGCACCAGTTTTACCACCGCTTTGCCCACACTACATGGTAACAGTGTACCCGCATGATGAGCTCTCTCTACCGTCCTTCACTTTAGTACAGGCATTATGTTTTTGCAGGGAAGTGATAATCACCCTCAGAGCCTCCCATTTCTACTGCAGATGCCAGGGTGGTATCGGACATGAAGACTGTAAGACCCGAGATACCCACGGTGGGGTCACAACACTCCTGCCTTTCAGTGGTCCAGGTCCCTGATCTCTTGCTCTGCAATAACCGTTAGCAATAGGCAGGCCAGCTATTTAGCTCTGGACTCAGAGTGGTTCCCAGTGGGTGTGCCAGGAGCTCCAGGGGTCATGCTTGTGTGACAGAAGAAGAACCTGGGCACAGACTAGAAGACCTTCTGCTGCATAGTGGCCAGGCTGCCCTGGGGCCCCCTGACCCTCCAGGTGGGCTCTGTGTGCCTCCCCAAAGCTGCCATATGCACCACCCTGCAGCCACAGCAAGGATGGCATTCATGTGCTGCCACTTTAAGCGACACACTTTGCCAAGGCTAGAAAAGGATCTAAAATATTTTTTCAGTGACCGAGACAGGGGTATAATTCTATGAACTCTTTCAACACCATAAAACACTGACTTTGAACAGCATATTACTGAACCTCCATTTGGTCAAAATAGAAGCTGCGTGCCTACACACAGAGCCCGGCTGGGGCCTTCCAGTGCTCTCGGTACCTCCCTCTTCCATTTCACAGACCAGGTGACTGAAGTCTGTAAAGGTTAGGAAACGTATCTAGGTCATCTCGGCAGCAAGCAGTGGAGCTAAACCCCACGCCCTCATCTTTCTCATTTCAGAGCCTATCACCCAACTCTGTGCCAACCACAGGGCGTTCCAGCTGGTTAAACATCAGAGTGCATTTTTGTGTAGCTTCTCTTTCTGTTGGAGAAAATCCTGAGAATGAGAGAGGTTGAGTTACTGGCCCCAAATCACATAGTGACAGATTGACCATTAAACCAAGGCTCCAGAAACCTTCCCTCCAGAAGAATTCTAAATAATGCATTACATGCATGGCTCAGACGGAGGGAGAACTTAATTACTCCTCTTGATTGGAGGTAGACTTAATGACTTGTTTCTAATAAATGTGGCATGGGAACAGAAAATAACTGTATAGTGAAGAAGCCATGCACAACCCGCCTAGGCCAAGCCAGCAAGCCACGCTGCTATCACGAACCCCCTAATGTCATGCAACCAGAGGGTGCTTCACCTCCTTCTTCTCAAAAATCTATGTCCTCAGTCGAATCAGACAAGTTGAAGCAGAGAGACATTCTACAAAATACCTAATAGTCTTCCAAACCATCTACAGCATCAAAGAAAAAGAAAGGTTTAAAAAGTCTCCGATCAGAAGACATCAAGGAGACGTGACAGCTACTGCAATGTGGGCTTGTGATTGGACCCTGGACAGGAAGAGGGCTTCAGAGGGAAACTAGTTCTCCAAATGCAGCCCCTTGGTTAAGAGCATGTCCCTCCGTCCATCTCCCAGTGTGGATGCCACTCCATGTTTATCCTGTAAGATGCTAACTTAGGGGATCCTGGGGGAAAGGTATTAAGGAATTCACTGTTACAATCTTTGTAACTTTTCCATAAATCTAAAGATATTACAAAATTAAAAACTGAAAATAAGATTAAAGATAAAAACAAAAGAAAAAGTGCTTGTTTTGTGGGCATTCTGTTATTGCTTGTAAAATTTCCTTCCAAAAAAAAAAAAGTGGAATCTAAAAGAATACTTGGAGACAGCTTTTTCTTCTGAACAACTTGCGCATATTGTTGCCTGCACACACACACACACACACACACACACTGCAAGCTGCTAAAACAGGCTCCACACACACTGTACTGTTCTCCCTTCAGACTGAGAGCTGAGAGGCTATGGTTTTGTGTGGCACTAGTTAGAGGACAATTGTCCCAGGTTGTTTTTGTTTTCTTTTTAATAGGGGCAACAATGCTGCAGCTGAGCTTCTGTAGAAAGGGGGTGACATTTTTTTCCATTTAAAGGGGGGGAGCAGTTAAAAATAAGCATTGGTACATCCTGCAATTATCATGCAGAATCCATGCAGGAGGGCGACATCCACAAGGCTGTGCGGCAGCTGCTGCTAACTGAAAGCCATCCTCAGCAGCGCGGAGGTGTACAATGCTAATTGCTCATCTAGTCCCTCTGCCTGGTGTCACAGGGAACCCACCAGGCGGGAACAAGTCTGCTTTTGTCCTGCAAGGTTCGCCCTGGGCAAGGAGTTTGTGGGAGGAGTGTTACAAGGATCGCGGTTCTGTTCACGGCACGTGCCTTCCATTCACTGGGAACGTCCAGCGGAGGAAGACTCCATGAAAACTGGTGTCAAGACAGTCACTAAGGAGACCCAAGCATTAATGGAAAATGAGCCACACGTAGATGGCGCTGGGCACTGCACTGTGTCTTTAATCCTCTGGCCACCAGCTGGGCAGCGGTATGTCCACCACACAGATATGCCACAGCACTGTGACCAATACCAGAGGGAAGTGGCAGGCATGGCTTTTGGCCAAAGCCCTGTCACCCACGGGGCGTCACGCCCCGCACTCGGAACACTGAGACGATGATTTCACTCAATGACCAATGCTGCGCCTCCTCACTCCAAAAGGAATTGAGATGCCCCACAGAGGCTCCATAAAGCCAGGTAGAAAACCCAGCACAATCCCCTAAGAATCTGTGTGCGGGTGACTGCTGGAGACCTGTGCCAAGTGCCCAGCAGACAAAGTGGCAAGGTCCATAGTGTCCATGAGGAAACAAGCGGGAGAGAGGAGGGGCCCTGCCAAGTACTCCATCAAGTCCCGCCTCCTCCACGGTGTCCTGCCTGAGCTGCATCACAGGTGACCCCTCCTGCTCGAAGTAAGCACGGCACACACTGCAAAGGTAGGTACGCTGTGACGGGGTCAGGTGCCACGTGCCAAAGGCTTAGCCCTGCCTCTCACATGTGAGGGGCTCATCGGCACTTCACCAAGCCTGATTACTCAACTGCCTACGGCAGACAAAATGAGCAAATGCTGCACAGTAATGGAGTGACACCGTTCAGCACTTCCCACCTGTGGGAGCCAAAGAGGATGGTGCAGGAGGCGGAAGGGGTAGAGGAAAGGGGAAGAAAGACAGAGAGGAGAATCGGGAAGGAAAGGAGGCTGGGGGTGGGAAGTGGGGAGGGACCAGGAGACGCCTGGGAGGGGAAGGAGGGCTAGAGAGCAAGGACAGGAGTGAGCTGGGGCAGGGGAGGGAAGCGGCAGAGGAGGGCGGCAGGGAGCAGAGGAGAGACCTCACTCTGGACAGAAGGAAGAACAGCAGCCAAGGGCCCGGCAGAGACGAGGGCGAGGGATGGCAGAGTCCAAGACGGAGACCTCTCCAGGGCCCAGAGCTGCTGTCAACGCCCCTATTGCCCTGTCACACCTCCCCCTGAGGGCCAGCTGAGCTTCTCTGTGCTTGGGGACATGGCCAAGGTCCTTACCACTGTTCCTTGGAAACTGGGAGGGCCGATCCCAGCTCTTCACACTTTCACCATCTCAAAACCTGCTCGGGGTACCCTGGTGGGTCGGCGAGGGCCCTGCCCCGGGGAGCTGGTCAGCCGGTGGGTGGGGGCAGAGAAAAGGACGTCACAGCCTGGTGAGCAAAGCCTTTGACAAGAGAAACCCAAAGCCAGGCCAGGCCTGGAGGACCACAGGAAGGTCCTCCAGAGAAAGCAAAGTGTCATGGACTGAGGTCCCTGGGAGTTCACCCACAAAGAAGCCGGAGAGCAGAACAGGTGGAAGGACAGACGGGGACGTGCGAGTCTCGGAGCCCAGCAAGGACACGGCAGCGCCCGGACACTAAGAGACAATGGCCAAAGCTGATTGCAGGCTGCACTGGTCAGGGTGGAGAGGCACTGAAGAGGGGGTGACAGCTGCGTGGTGGGTGGTGTCATGGGATGCTCCAAAGAGGCTTCTTGCTGTGGGACGAGAAGTTCATCTTGTTTTTCTGTTGGCAGGACAGAGAGGGGACCCGCTGGCATGACACATCCTGAGAAGGACATTACAGGAGCCAAAGAAGAGAGTGGGCAAGGCCAGTCCTGGGGAGAGCCAGAAGCTGGGTCTGTGGGACCAGATGCAGGATGGGTGTTGGGCTGGTCTGAAAAGCAGAGACCGGGGAGGCTGGGATTTCTGGTCTGGACAACAGGATGGAGGGCAGTGCTGTCCCAGGGACAGAGGCTCCTGAGAAAGGGAACGAGGTGGTTGGGCCTGGGTAGGAAAGGCCAAGTGAGTAGCATAGAGAAGCTGGATACGTGGGCCACAGTGGGCGCTGGCGAGATGTGTCTGAAAATGGCCAGGGAGAAAATACCCGCAGCGTTCCAGGCCACAGAGTCTCTGTAAATCCTGTCCTCTCTGCTGCGGCAGCTGGAAATGGCCACAGGTGGTGTGGAGCCCTGCTGCAGCTGGGCCTCACGAGCCCCATCGACAGAGGGAGCTGGACTTGGCTCTCGGGGCAGAGCGTGCAGACCCTGGTCTGGACCAGCAGGGAGATGTCTGGATGGGAGGTGAGAATCCAGGGAGAGATGACTTGAGGTTGTGAGTGTGGGTGAGAACCGGAAGCTGGCCCTGGGGGCCGAGGGCAGAGCCTATGGCAGGAGGTATAGACTATACAGAGAGATGCAGATATTGACTTAGACCTTTGCATTCAGGCCTGTGCCTGTGTCTATACAGATATAGATTTAGAGAAGAGATTTCTTTTAAGGGATCATATGATTAATGCTCATGTGACGTAGGAACTGGCTGGTCTGAACCTGCAGGGCAGGTGGGCAGGTGGGAGGCTAAGGCACACGGAGAGGCTGCCTTCTCTGGGTAGCACTTCCTCTTCCCTGGGAATCCTGTGTTTGCACACAGGCCTTCAGCAGCTTGGATGAGGTCCACCCACGTTACAAGGGTAATCCACTTGACGTAAAGTCAACTGGCTGCTGATGTTAACCCCCTAGATTAGGGTGTGATTAATTAGCCCAGCCAAGCTGACACCCCAAAGCAACTGCCACCGGGATCATCTCAGAATCCCTCCTTCTCCGCTGAAGTCAGCCAGTTGGATCGTGCTCACAACACAGGTGGCAGAGTGGTCAGCCAAGCCCCCTGGGTCATGGTACGGCTGCCTCTCTGAACCCAGGAGCTACCAGTGACCACTCCAGTGTCACCTTTGAAGGCTCAATCTGTCTCTGCAAAAGAAGAAAAAGTCACTCTTTGCCTGGGAAGCCCCATGAAATACTTCTTAAGAAGGGCCTTCACCCAGCCCCCCCCCATCCCTAGGGGAGGGGTTCAGAAGGCTGAGAGAGGAGCTGACAGGCCTCCTGTCCTGTCCTCATATGAACCCCAGTCACGAGTCCCTGGGTAGCAGCAGCAGAGGGGCCCTAGCTCCCGCAATTCTGGGGGGGGGGGGAATCATTTGCCAAGCCTAATAGTGGCACCATACATGTGTATACATTTTACACAAAGCCTGTTTACTCTGAAAAATCAATTTCACTCCTACAGATGGCATATTGCAAAAAGCAACGCAAACCCAGCAGCACCCCGCCAGCAACAAAGCTGAGCGCTTATCCCCACGTTGCTGAGACAGGTCACGTGGGAAGACGTGCACACTTGAGGCATCCAATCATTGCTGTGCCAGAAGAGCAGGAGCTTCCTAGGCAGAACTTCTATCTTGGTCTCCTATTCAAGTCATGTGGAGTGAGAAGACAGCCTGCAAGGGCCACCCAGAAAGGAGGGGACCCCAACACCAGGCCAAACAAGAGCAGGATGGGCCTGAGGTATCTGGGTGATAATTAGGAAAGTGCTGGGATATTGGTGCCTGAAAGGTGGGTGTGTCGGTCAGCTTTCCATCTCTGTCACAAACACCTGAGAGCAGCAGCTAATGAAGAGAAAAGGTTGTTCTTGCTCACAGTGTTGGAGGTTCCAATCCATGGCCAATTGCCTCCTTCTTTGGGCCTGTGTGGAACAGCAAATCATGGTAGGAGGGTGTGGCAGAGCTAAGCCTCCCACCTCTTGGCTGGAAAGCAAAAGGGGAAGGAGGAAGGGGCTAGGGTCCCTCTATCTCCTCCAAGAACATCAGTGACCTGAAGACCTCCCACGGAACCCCACCTGCTAAAAGTTCCACCACCTCCCTTAACACTTGGGCCTTTGAGAACATTCAAGATCCGAACCATAGCAGCTGGTCATGGGGGCTGCTCAGTCTGCTCAGCCACAGAGAAGGTCAGGACCTGATGACTCCCGTATAGAAGGCCCGCACCATAGATTTGCTGCCTTCTAGAGAGGGCGAGCGGCCTTGCCTCTGCCATGTCTGTGACAGGGCTGAGTCTGTCTGTCCAGGAAGACAGGGATGCAGAGAAATACTGGGCATATGCCCCTTTTATGTAAATCGCATCGTAGCGTCAAAGTAGACATGATTGTCACTGTGACTCATGTTCTGGGCCTCACCTTAGACTTCAGCCTCTGATGTGAACATTGCCCAGGGGCTGGGGCTCACCTGGTGCTAACACCGTGCCCAGGCTCTCCTCCCCGTGGAGGGGCACACCCCTGCAGGAATGTTCTCTAGCCTCCAAGTTCAATCACAGCAGACACAGAGGAGGGTGAGCAGCCCAGGGCACCCCCAAGGAAGGAGGGGAGGTGGGAGCCGAGGGCCCCTGTCCTTCCTGCTGGCAATTTCAGGAAGCACCCTGTGGTTCTCAGCTGGCACTGGAGGGACGGCACAGAACTGCCCGCTGCAGCGACCTCAGTAACAGGTCCACGTTGACATTGCTTTCTTTCCTGTTCCCTCTCTCCAGCCTCCTGAGGCCACCTGACAAATAACCATCCAGGTACAAGTCCCTTTGCAACCCTTTCTCCTTTCAGGGACTCCAGCTGGACACTGTCTCTGGAACAGTGATGTCCTCTCACTCCAGGCCCCCAGCGTTGGTGCAATGCTTCCTGAACTGCTGGGCTCCCTCTACGCTCCTGACTCTGGGAAACTCCTATGTCCCTTCACAAGCTGCAAGTCTCACGGGAGAAGCCACCATACACTCACCGCCACTCCCCTCTGGAAAACAGGGAACAAACATGGTCACAAGCCAGACGCAGATGCTGATTCCTTAACTCAACTCAAGATGTCATTTTGCATCAGCTGGAGTAAGCTCACTTATTCTGGGCAACAAACAATGCAAGAAGCTTTGTGTCCTACGCTCACGAGTTCTACTTCTCTTTTACCCTTGGTGTCCATAGTGGGCAGATGAGGGGCTCTGCCCTATGCGGTCCTCACCCAGTCCAGGCTCACAGAGCATCCGCTGATTTATGGCCATGATTGACAGGGGGGACACAGGCCAATTGCTCACTGGCTCTTAATGTCCCCACCCAGACATAACATCTGTCACCTTTACTTGCATGTCATTGACCTAACCAGTCCCTTGGCCACACTTAAAGAAGGTCAGGAAGAGCTATCTTCCCAGAGGACAGAGCGCTGCAAGTACTTGGTTTAAAACAAAGCCAGCAACTGCCCGCCTCACTGACTACACCTCCAGGCCCCAGAAGAGAGGCTTCTGAACCTCTCCAGGGCACGAGGGACGCTAAGTGGGTATTAGTTGCACAATAGGTTTTTTTGCTACCTTAAAGCACAAACTGTCGTTCACATTTTGGTTACCTCCAGTCCATCTTTTCTATCTTAGTAATATTGCCTTGCCTTGTGCACATGTATTTTTAAATGTCTAGTAGCATTTTAGTTACATAAATGTGTGCATCTATTTTATTTTTAGTGTTTGATTAATTAAATTAAATTTGTATGTCAAGGCATTTGTCTTCTTTTTCAGGGACTTCAGTCGCCTTCATTTTATTTTCTATAAAGATCTATGTTCTAGAATCACATGTCTGTCCCTTTTGAGTGGCTCTGTGACCCCTCCTTCTTTGGCGCTTGGGGAAGGGGCACACACTGCCCTTGCAGGAAACCTGGGCCCAGTTTAATGTGTGCAGCGCCACAGCCGAAGGGCAAAACCAGACAGAGGGGAGAAAGGAGACAGAGTTAAAGAGCCAGGGACCCAGAGAGGTCACTCCTGAGTGTCCCACCTGTTCCCGGCATCCCTCATGGGGTATGAGGTTAGGGTTAGGGTTAGGGTTAGGGCACCAGGTGAGCCCAAGCCCCTGGGCAATGTTCACACCAGAGGCTGAAGTCTAAGGTGAGGCTCAGAACACGAGTCACAGTGACAATCAGGGCATCATTTCAGAATTGGCGGTTGCAATGTTCCAAGCACCTGTGCTCCCCGAGGGCCATACCAGGGGGCAGACCCTGCCTTTGACCACACACTGGCCTCGTATGTTTGCCCCAGGTCACTTTGCATCAAGGTCACTTCAGCCGTCAAGGTGAAAACAAAGAAAGGTTGAATAGAAGCTGCCAAAGAGCCCTTCCAGCTGTGCTGTGATGACACCCTGTCACAGAGCACTGTGACGTGGGCCTGTTGATATGGGCTCGGGCACTCTTAGAAGTATAATACCTTTTCCTCCACACCAAGGACATGCGAGCTGGATCCCTCCTGCCCACAGACACAGGGGATGTTCCTAAAGGCAGACACCACGTCTTCACTCCAACCTCCTCGTGACCTCCAGGAGATGACGCCGGCGGCAGGTAGTCTTTAACCAGTCATTGTACAACTGTGCACATGATAAGCCTGGGCTTGGTGTTCTTAATGCCTGTCTACTGAGGTCTCCCTGTTCCCTCTAATAGCAGCTCACACATCTTGAACACTTGCTTTGAGCCAGGCATTGTTCTAAGCAGGGTGCATTTCTTAAACCCCTCATCATAACACCGTGAGTCAGGGCTATTATCATCAAATGGGACTCACCCATTTTACAGATGCCTCCACGGAGGCCCAGCCAGGAAGGACCTTTCCCTGAGGTCACACCTCTAGGGAGGAGGGAGGCATGCCCGGAATGTGGCAGCCTGGCCACAGAGCCAGACTGGAGCCAGTCACCCCCTCACCTACCTCATTTGCCACTTATCTGTCCACCCACATGCTTTCTAGAAGCTTCCTTCTGTGCACGCCCCTTCTCTGTTCCTGAAGGCTGACTGCGCTTCCAGCCTCAGGATTACACAGTGTCTCTATTCTGAGACAGCTGCTATCTCAGGACAGCTGCAGTCTTTCATTATCTCTCAACACAAAACCCCCAGGTTGGGGAAGAAAGCACGTCTCCTTCTTGATCTGTGTGATGTGGGGCGGGGGGCTGACGACTCTGCCAGCACCCCTGGAGCCTGGGGCCGGGGGTCTCTCCTTTGTCCCCTCTTGGCTTTGCCCACCGGGTCCCACGGGCCCCGAGCAGGCCTTTTCCACCCCACCCCAGCAGATATCCTCTCATTTCACCTTCTTGAAGTTTCCATGTCAGCAATAAATCTTCTCAAATGGCCATTGCTCCAAAAGCATTTTCCAAGGAGAAATGAAAACCATGATCACCAGGGTGAGGAAACAAATGTGTTTTATTCGGTTACAGAAATGAGGAAACCAAAATCACTCCCACCTGGAAAGTGTGCTCACAACCGAGCCTTGTGGTTCTGACCCAGGGCAACAGGAGGGACCCACCCCATGACTCCTCCTCGATCGCCTCAGGCCTGGTCTCTGCCTGCTCTCTCCTTAGCAGAGCTGGTAGAAGGAGCTCTCTCCTCTCCATTTCCTCATCCTTCAGAGGGGGAGATGTGCCCAACCCAAGGGTGGTCAGGACCATGAAGTCTAGCAGAGAGCCCCGAGCCCCAAGGCTACCTCCGACTGATAACTGAATTTCATGCATAGTGCATCTTGAGAATGAGTGTTCTGTGAGCTCGGATTGGCAGTGATGATTTAGATGCTGACCAGGGGGAAAAAAAACCATCTCTTGCAGAGTTTGTAGAAATAGGAAAAGACAAACATATCTGTAACTCGTCCTCACTCAGACCAGAGAGTCTTATCTGGCCCTTCAGACACAACCAGACAGTTCTTGCTGAGGCTGTGGGACCTGTGCGTGCAGAGGCTCAAAGAAGTGGTAGAGGGTGGAACACCAGGGAGACCAACAGACCCGGCTGAGCTGTCCTGAGGCCTGTTTAGAGAGGGCTTCCACGTGCCAGGTGCCCCATCATGTTAGCACTGTTCATCCTGATAAAACCTCTGAGCTCACTCACCCAACAACTGGAAAACAGGTTACATCCAGTGTCCCTAGAGTTTGTCTGCAAGGAGGACGGCTAGCTCCTTTTCCCAGGTAAAGGGGCTCAAGGGGGTGATCTGTGGCCCCACGCAACCCAGTTAGCAATGAAATCCGACTCCTTATCCAGTCTTGCTGCCTCCAGACCCCATAGCTTCAGTTCTTTCTCACCAGCAACCGTAGCCCACGAGGGAGCACCAGGTCCCCAACAAACCAAGCAGGCATGCCTCCCATCCCCAGCAGCTGGGAAGGAGGAATCTGCCCCCAGAAGTCAGCAGAGATGCTGGGATCCATCCAGAAGTCCCCGTCCATGGCAGCAGTTGAGGGTCCTGGTGTTGCTGGAAAAGAGGGACCCGGTATAAAAGACACACGATGTTCGGAGAAGAGAGACCAAAGAGGCAGACGGAGGGAGGCCGAGGGGAGAGAGGCAAAGAACAAATCATGGTGACCTGCACACGGCATGGATCTTTGAAGCAAGGGCAGGTGGGCACTGGGGGTCAGAGGGCAGGGAGCTGGTCTGCAGGGAGAGGGCCATGGAGGTCCTAGATAGGACATTCACTCTACTGCTCTCTTGTTCACTGAGGCATCTCCAGTCCCCACACAGTGCCTCGTAGAGAACAGAAACCCAACAATTTCCACCCAAATACGTGGATCAATGAATGGACGGGGAGAGTAAGGAGTGTGAGAGGCCAGTCCCAAAGCTCCAAGTCAGCCTGTGCCATGAAGCCCACCCAGGTGGACAGAATGAGAGGGGCCTGTCCGTCTTTCAGACCCTTCCCAGAGGCATGGAGGATGAGGAAAGAGGTGAGATTGGGGAAACATGGCCTGCTCTAGTGCAGACCCAGCAGATCCTGCAAGCTGGCCCTGAGAGGGGATTCTCCAGGCCAGGCTTCCTGCCCCACCTATCTTCACCAGAAGCTGTCTTGAAGTGACCTCTAAGCTAGGCTGAATCAAGTCTGCCCAAACATGTGCACGATCTGCTCCAAAGCCTGTAAATTGTTGTGTGTCTTGATCAGCTCAGGCCACCGTCACAACACCATGCACCAGGTAGCCTGAAACCAAATCTATTTTTCCACAGTCTCAGAGGCTGCAGAACCCAAGGTAAAGGATTGGTCGGCCTGGTGTCTGGTGAGGCCCTCTTCCTGACTCGCAGATGGCCGCCTTCCTGGTGCTCCTCACATGGTCTTCCTGTGGATTGCTCTCCTACACAGCTAATCCCATCCTGAGGGCCTTGCCCTCAACTCCTCCCCCCACCCTAACTACCTACCAAAGTCCCCATCCCCAAAGATCCTTCACTCTGGGCTTTGACACATGAGGAAGGACACAACCACTCAGTCCATAATACAAAGGACCCTCGCAAGTATAACTAAGTGAAGGAGATGACCCTGCATTACCCAGAGGGGCCCAATGACTTGCAGAGGGCCTTATGGCATGGAGACAGGAGAACCAGAGCGCCTCCTACAGTAACAGAAGCAGAGGTCAGAGTGACAAGACATGAACCAAGGAATTCAGATGGGTTCTTCTAGAAACTAGAAAAGGGAAGGAAGCAGATTGTTCCTTACAGGTTCTAGGAGGAACCCTATCCTGTGGATACCTTGATTCTGGACCCTCCAGAACAGTGAAAGGGTGAATTGGTATCTCAAGCTAAAGAGTGTGTAGTGATTTGTTACGGCGGTGAGAAAGCCATGTTGCCCCTCTCACCCACTGTGGCCACCTGCTTGCCAGTTTGAGGGCCACCTCTGACCCTGGCTGCAGGGTCACGTGGGTTTCCCTTCAGTGCTACTGAAAAGCACTGAAGATTTCAAAGAGGCGTCAACCAGCGACCAAGGGAGGACAATGAGGAACCAAGAGTCAACTGACCAGGAAGAGCGTTCCACACCCCACAGCTTGCTCTTCCCAGATGCCATCTCCAGCTGAGGACATTCCAGCAAATTCTGAACAACTCTTAGTGTCAACAAAGGCCAGTGAAGAAAAACTTTAAATATTTATAAAACTGTATTTTTTTTTCTTTTCATTCAAGATGAAAACAGCTTTCCCAGGCCCTAGGTGACAATGTCCGTTTGTACACGTGGGTAACTATTAGGACTGAGAAACACCTGAGGAAACTGGGTACTCTGAGCCTCTAGATTAGCATTTGGGACCCAAGTGCACAGAGAGGTGGCTTCCTGACCACTTGTCCTCGGGTGTACCTATGCTTGTAACATTCATGGGGAGTGTGGACTTAACACTTTCCCATTTACTCTTCAAGACACTTGGGCAGGAGGAATAGCTTCCCATGTCCCATAGCAGGGTGACTATGGTTGACAGTAATTAATTGCATATTTCCAAATATGCTAGTAGAGAATATTTTGAGTGATCCCAACACAAAGAGAAGATGAATACTTGAGATGATGGATTTGCCATCTAATCATTAAACAGTTTACACAGGCTGAAATATCACAATGTATCCCATAAATATGCACAATCATTATGTGCCAGTTAAAAGTAAATTGAGAAAGAAAGAAGATGATCTTCAAAACACCCCAAGGTCGTGCTGTTAACATTCCCCACCCCACAGATGGGAACAGCAAGGCTTTTCCGAGGTCATCCAAGGAGCTGGTGGCTTGCACCAACCACATCAGTTTGTTCT